GCTGGGGTTGCTCTGTGAGTGGAGAAACTAGCAGTATTGCTTTGTTTTAGCACTAAATGACTTTTTAGGACTGAAATGCAAAAGGAAACCCCAACACACAATTTCAGCTGGCGCAAGCGTGCCCCAATCCTGAGGAAGCAGCTCACGAGGGCCCCGCTGTTGCCCAGCTCGTTGTGCCGCAGGTGTTTTGCTGAGCCAAACCAAAATTGTGATTAAAAAAGGGCTCTGGGCAAGCTTAGAAGGGACAGGGCTTGGGAATGGGAAGCTGTTGCAGGGAGTTTTGGGGGAGAAAGCGCCTTTCTGCACGAGTTCCTTGGGGCTCCCGCAGCACGTTTGCAGCGGCGCCATTTTACCTCACGGAGGGGTCGCTCAAACTGGACACAGGGACACCCCCAGCACCCGTCCCTCTCCAAAATGTCCAGAAATGCCAGCAGACCTCACCCCCCCCCAGCAGACCTCACCACCCCCCCCCTCCAGGTGCATTTTTCTCATTAGCACCTGTGGGTAATTAGGGCTAACAAGGCACAGCGGGGCTGGGGGGCAGCCAGGAGCCCACACGTGAGGCCCTGCAGGAGGGTACGCACCTCAGCCTGAAGCCTGCTGAGAAAAGGTGAGTAAAAATCTATTTTTATCCGTTTTTTTCCCCCAAGTGGGAAGCCTTTGCAGCCTGTGCCTGCTTGTATGTGGTGTGCAACAGTCGGGCTGGGGCTGAGGGTGAGAAACATGCCGGTGCTTTGGGAACAGGTGCCTTGGGGGGTTTGGTTTCCAGAGGGCTGTCTGCAAGGGGAGAGAAAGCTGCTGGTTTGTTGGGAACAGGCACCTTAGGGATTTGGTTTCCAAAGGGCTGTCCGCAGAGGGAGAGTCCCAGCATGCAGGGCCATGGTGGTGCACGCTTCCCGAGGTCTCCGCAGGCATGCAGTACCACTCTGTGCCCCTGTTGCACTGCAGGGCTTGTCCTCATCCTGTGGGTCCCATCTGCAGGCACCTCTCTGGGACTGGTATGCCATGCTAGCAGCTTCCAGCCTCATGCTCAGAGCCCGGTCCCGCTGCAGGAACTGGGAATTGTGTGGGTACGGCTTTTCCGGGGGATGAGGGGCTGCTTAGCAAGTGATGCAATTTATGGTTTGAGGCTGAATTTCTGCAAGTCAAGTAAGAGAAGTTCCTTTTGGTTTGTACGTGCTGAACCTGGGGCCAAGGGAGCAGGAGTAGAGGAGAAAAAGAAACAATATGACCATCAGCACACTGCAAAGCTGGCTGGTGGTCACCTTTCCTTTTTGTACAACTGTTGATGGTTAATTTTCCATGGCTGTTGTTGGGAAGAAGTTGTCTTGCCCCTTGTCTGCTTGTCAGTTGCACTGGAGCATCCTGCAACTGCTTTCTGAGGCTGTGCTGAACAGTGTCACATGCTGGTGTAGCTCCAGAGTGACTGGGATGGCCTATTTCTGTCACTGGAAGTTAATGTGAGCTGCTCAGGGAGAAGCTGGCTTTTGAGAAAGCCAAGCTGCGGCTCTGTCTTACATATCATTCCGCTTTTAGGTCCTGCATGAGATTTTAATTCCTGTCACATCAACTATTTGCAAACTAATTTTATTTTCTGCAATTGGGTGTTTGCTTTCCTCTTACTAGACAGGAGATGATAACACACTTGACTTAACTCATGTTCATAGAGTCATATAGGTTGGAAAAGACCCTTAAGGATCATCAGGTCCAACTGTTCACCTAACACCACTAAACTATATTGCTAAGCACTGTGTCTACATGTCTTTTAAATACCTTCAAGGATGGTGACACAACCACTTTCAGGGTGGCCTGTTCCAGTGCTTCTCAACCCTCAAGAAGGTTTTCCTAATACCCCATCTAAATCTCCATGTTGTAACACAAAGCCTCACAGCTGTTTTGCAAGGTTTTCACTGTGCCCTTTTCCCTCACCATCAAGCTGTAAGGAAATAAGGTGGGGCAGCTTTGATTCCTGGTGAATAGCCAGGTACAGATTGGCAAAGTTGGGAGGATTTAGCAAAGGCATCCCTGTGCACAGGGATCAGTGTTGTTTCCCTTCTCCCTCAGCTTCAATGTTTAGACAACCGAGGGACAGATTCTTCCTGTGGGCTCTTAGCTCCTGTCGAGGTGTGGTGCTGGACTGCAAGACAATGCACACAAAGCAGGATTTAAAACACACACAAAAAAAAAGCAAACCCACACCCTGAGGCCATGCTGTGGTGCTTTCTGCTCCTCCCCAGAGCAAGTAGGGCTCAGGGTCCTCCACAGACACTGGCAAGCTGAGTTCACCATGGACTTGCAGGAGAGCATACTTGGCATGGACAAGCCCTGCTTTGGCATTCACTGTGACCCTCTGCCTGCAGCAGGGTGTAGCCTTCTTGCTTTCCTGATCACTCTAGCAGAAAAAAAGTCTGATCATCACTGTAGGAGCCAGCCTGAGCACTCCACATTTACTGTGCCTGTTGACCAGTGTCACTTACAGGACCAGGAGTATTTATAGCACTGGGACATGGGAAAACAGAACTCAAGAGGCAGGAAGTGCTGGCAAAGGCCTGCTCGCTTCCTTCCTACCCTTTCTCCTGTTTTGTGGTCTCCTTAGTAGTAGCTGCCAGTGTTAGAAAGCAGGATAAACCTCATTAACTGTTGTGGAAAGTACAAGAGGAGGAAAGCACTGTTTGTACCCTGAGCAGAGCAGGCAGGACCATTTGTGGCTAACCTACCTGGAAATCAGGACTGCCAGCTTCACAGGCAAAAATGAGATCAGCTTTTCTCTTGTCAGCTCCTACAGACACATACTTCATCTCTAATCAGGGCAGCCAGGAACAGAGGCAGCCCAAGGATCAGCTGCAAGCTCCCCTGTGCCTCTACAGCTGAAGGGCCTTGTGCTTTTTAAGTCCTTGTCCACTTGACCATTTAAGTTCTCTTCAGTCAGATAACTTGAACACAGGATAGAAGGGCAAAATAGACAAAAGCCATCTTCTTCTCCCCAACCCAAGTACAACTAGCCTTCCAAAAACACCTCAAGACTAATTTGACAAGGCAAATCATCAGCAAGACTTGTCTCATCCTCTGCCTAGTAAACACATCTTGTCCTGTAAATAACCCAGTACATGCAGGGCAGGAATTATAGGCACCACTAACTGTCCCTGTCCTTGTCAAACGATGTAGTCCTGCAGCACAGCCAGGCTCCTGGCACACAGCGTGTGTGCTGTCACTGTCCTACTCCTGCGCAGGGGATGGGTTACAGCAACCCCCTCCCCACCCTCCCAGCAGGTGCATAATGGAATCTTTTGCTGAGCTTTTGACACTCCAGCAGAGCCCTTCAGAGTTTCCCATGCACCCCATACCTCCCCAGAGGGACAGGTGCCCAGAAAGCCTCCTGCTTATTTGCTCACCAAGTCCCTTACTATCATCAGCTCTGGAGAACAAAGAGGAGGAGCCCTGTCTACCCACAGCCAACATGTCTGTGCCCACAGGGCTAGCGGCAAGACACAGCTCTAAGTCACACCCTTCTGGCAGAGCTGCCAGGCAGCCTCCATAACAAGGGTTATCAGACAGCAGAGAGAAAAGGACACCACTAAGGCAGGAGTGTCCACCCTCCAAAGCAAATCTCATCTTTCAGGGGGATGCCCAGCTCTGGGACAGCAGCTGCAGCAGTCCAGATCTGGGCAGCATTACATACCACACAGCAGTTGTGCTGACCAGAAGGCAACAGGCTTGCAGCCTGTCAGCCACTCCGTAAAAAGCCTTCCAATGGCCAAAATGCACTGCAGAGTGGTATTGCCCCTACCCAAGCAGCTGGCCCAACCTCTCAGCTATTCAAAGGAGCAACAAATGCAACCCTGGTCTGGAACAGCCCTGCTGAAAGGCATTAGCTAACAGGAGTCAAATTCCACCACTTGAGCAGCATTTGGCTAAGGAAAACCTCACCAGTACAGTCAGTTACCAGCTGAGCTGCAGTGGGGCAGCACTGTTACAGTTTGAGCAGTCACAGAGCCAGTCCCCAAAGGTGGGCAGCCTGCCCAGGCTCCCAGCTCTCCACAGCAGGTAGGACTTGTTCACCTTTCATCAGGTCCTCCAGAGCTGCAGCAGTCCCAACTCAAGCCCTGTCTTGGGTAGGCATGATTAGCATGCAGCTGGGGAACAGCAGTAGCAGATGCTCCAAAGCATTGCACAAGCAGAGCAGAGTGGTTTTAAGGAGAAAAGACATTTTACTCAACTTATTCCTTTTTTTGGTCTGCCTAACTGCAACTACTTGTGCTTGGTGCACTCAGGATTTAATATCTCTAATAATTCTGTTTGAGAGAACCCTCAGGCTGCATCTGGAGCTTTGCAGCCAAGTGGTACAGACACTGACCCACAGGCTGGGACATGGTTTGTCACCCTTACCTGCCATGTTGCTAAGCCACTGACTTCTTGGTACAAGATAATAGGTGGTGACAGTGCCAGGACCTTGGGTCATGAGGCAGCACAGACATCATGGATCCTCTCAAGACCTCACTCCGAAGTTGTCCATCAGGTTCACCTTACATGCCATGTCTTTCACCCTGGCAAGTGCAGTTTGCCTGACTTGCCTGCTCTCCTCAACTCCCTAAGTACACTTGTGCCAGCCTGCAATGCACCCAGCCACTCAGCATGGTCTTGGAAAGCAAAGCTATTAGCAAGAGCATAAGCCACACCTTGTTGCCTCTCAATCCTCCATCCCCAGCAAGGAGATGGGAGCACCACTTCTTGGTCAGATATGGCACAAGACACCCAGCATACACTTGTGTGAGCTTCCCTGGCTGGGACTAGTCCCAGAGTTGAGAAACTCACTGCAGCCAAGGGAGCAACTACTGCTATGCTAGCTTGGTTCACAGTAAATCAATCTTTGCCTGGCACCTCGGCTAACTCTACACCAGCTGCAAGGCCACAGTGTGAGTAGGCACACATGGATATATCATAGCCTTACCCTGTAGTGCACAGGAGCAAGCAGATTAGAGCAGAAAACAGCAGAGGAAGCAGCCATTGCAAATTGGGTTTATTTCACTAGGCAGGGGGAGAGAAAACAAAACCAACCAAGCTATAGCTGTTCACTGAACTTGATGGCTTTGACTTTGAAGTCCCCCTCCACAGCCAGGTATTCGATTTTCTCCATGCCCAGCCGATTAGGAAACTGGAACTCCACCTCAGGCAGCTTCACTGTCGCCTCTGTTTCATTAAAGGAGATGCAAATCTGTAGAGAGGCAGAAGAAGGAAGGCTAACACATCACAACTCACAAGCCTTGCTCCCCACTCCCTCCAGTCAGGTTCTGGACAGATAAGGTGGCCACTGGTGTCAAGGCCATGCTCCCTATCTCCGCCTCCTCCCTGCCTGGCAGAGGCATGGAAGGGAGGAAGCTTGTTTGCTCTGCCCCAAGGTCAGCTCCACACTTCTGCAACGAAGGGATGAGACAGCTCCAGTCTGTTTCAGTTGCACTTACTGGTGTGGCTTGCAAAGGGAGGCCAGAGCCCAGCACTTAATACACCAAAGGTGTTGGGCATTGACTTGGGCAGCACAGGTATCCAGAGCAAGCTGCCTTCAGCTGCAGGTTCCTTCCCCTGTTCCTTAGTCCCCTTTCCACACCTGCTCGTTCTCCATCCGAGGTGCAAGGCAGCATTAAAAAAAACCTCCGCCTTTGGCCTCTTACTGATCTGTTCCAGGGCCTCACCTCAATCTTGTCACCTTGCTGGAAGGGAAAGTCAGCCTTCCTGTCTTCCTCACCCCACACGCCGTCCTCCTTAGAATTGCACACGATGGTGTTGATGTCCCCATGGCAGTCGAAGCGAGGGTTGAAATGCAGCAGGAGGGTGCTGCTGTCCTTCCCCACGTTCACAGCAAACCTGGGCAAACAGAGAGGCAGTGCCGAGGAGGTCCCTGTGCAGCAGCTCCAGCTACCCAGTGCTGACAAGCTGAACACAGCAGGAGCTCAGTGACACATGAACCCATTCACCATCTCCTCCTCACTCACCCTTTAGCATCAGACAGGATCTTGCCTTTCACCTTGACGCACTCTCCAGGCTGGATGTCCAGCTGAGTAACCACCAGTCCCTGCAAGGCCAAACCACAGCAGTTAGTCTGTCCCAAGGAAACCCTACAGCACTGCTTGGGCCAAGGGATAAACCACTTCCAGCAAACCCCATCCCATTTGCCATTTTGTGCTGGAAAAAGGGGTGTGCCAGGCCAGCTGCCTGTCTCAGCCCTCTGCAAGGGAATCCTCTGCCACAGCCACCACCCCATTGGGGTCTCCCATCCCCCTAAGCAACCTAAGCTGACAAAGAGCTGATTGAAGCCAGTGTAACAAGAGTAGGGCACAGGCACTGATTTACCAGCTGCTACAGAACAAACCCTTGCAAACAAGCTTGCACCTTCCAGTCAGCAGTGCCCACATTAATGGTAGGAAGGCAGCTTTTCTAACTCTAGGCCTGTCCCCCTTCCCTATATGGGTCTCCAAGTGACAGGAGCCACCAAAAAAGTTTATCAGTGGAGCCCACTTTTGGCTGCAGCCTCATAAAGCAGTGCAAATATCTTCCTGGGAAGCTCTCTCTGTAGGGAAGAGGATTTCATCCTTTCCTCATAGCCAGGTTATTCACTCCCCTAGCTTTATACCCCCAAAACAACATTTAGCATTAAAAGCTAAGAGGAAGATGCTGTTAGATGAGGTCAGGCATATCTCAAGCCATGCTTCGCTGCCCGTGTTCCAGGTCCAAGAGCAACAATGCTGAGCTCCACTTCACCAAAAGCCAGATAAAACAGGAAAACTCATTTCAAATCAGGTATATCATTTACTTGGGCTAGTTCTCCTTGCCCAGCTTATACCAGCCTATGCCCAGCACTCCTCTAGGACAACCACCCAGCTCCGAGAGTGCTGCTCCTCTTGCCTACTCCCTGCTCTGCCCACAGCACAGACTGGTAAGGTCGGATTTCCCCCAGTCAATCATCTGCTTATCCTCCCAGCACTAACACTGCTTTCTGGCTCTGTTTCTAGTAGAGTGCTGGAGCACAGTCTGAAATACAGCCCCAGGGGGCTTCCTTGGAAAGGGAAGTTATGGGGGCAGGGATAGGTCACAAAACACCACCCTCCTGTTGCATTAAGTCAGCCCAGTCCTCTACCCAACAGGCATTTTTCCAGAAAAAAAACACAAAGTTTAAGGCAAAAAATGTGTAAAGGATATTCAAACTGTAGAGCTGCAAACGGTCCCAAACTTTTGGAGTCCTCACAGATATAAACATGCATTAAAAAACTTCCCCACTTAAATAACCTGCTAGAGAAAAGAAGGAGAAAAAAAACAGCTGGTCGGCCCTAACCATTCCTCCCTCAGCCATCTATCCGCCCTGCATTTCCTCCCAGCTAATCCTTTCCTCCTCCTCCTACCTCTGGCCCCAAGCCCAAAACCCACAGGCAGCCAAACCTCCGTCCTGCTGGGCAGACCCGTCCAGCCTCAGAGCGGGCACTCACTTGCTCCATGCCGCAGACACCAGTCCCACCAGTCAGGACACCCCCAAGCCCCTGCTCCGCAATCCAGCATGACTCAGTGCTGAGCTCCCGCAGCTTAAATCCCTTGGGCAGGACCATCACATGATGGAGGGGGGGGAAGAAGGGAATCAGTTGCAGCTGTTTGGGGCTGGAGCTTTCCCAGCCATTTAAAGTGGGCAGCGGGAGATCTCTATGGATATTGTTCTTCGCAGGCGGGATGTGTATCATTTTAAAAGCGAGGGATTGTTTATTTCGGCGTGATCCTAGAAATCTTTACTGTAAGCTCTTCTAGCTGGTAGCAGAGCGTGTTGGCTCTCATCCCGGGAGCCGGAGCGTGGCTCTGTGCCTGCAGTGAGGTGGCTGCTTTTTGTTAAGCCATCCCTGTCCGAGATCAGGGTGGGAGCCCTCGTGTTGCTGCTGCAAAGTGGCTGCCTCTGAGAATACGTGTGTACGGCATCCTCCCAGCACGACCTCGTGCCTACGTGGAGCCTGGAGGAGCCCCTGGGCACAGATCATCACTACTTGCAGTTAAATGAACACCAAGGGTTGTTTTTTTTAAAAAAAAAAAGCGCCTGAAAGTCAAGGTTCTTTGCGCGGGGCACTACTAGATGTGAGAATTCAGGCTGCAGCTTTTGTAAAGCAGTGTGATCTCACTGGTTCCATTCCGGTTGCAGAAGACTCCAGAGGGAAAAGAGAAATGCTTTGTTAGCAGAGGAAGAGGCCGGGCAGGGCTGAGTGCAGCCAGCGAGACAGGAGGCTGCTTCCCAGCCAGTCCCTAACGCCCGCTTTTTCCCTTTGCTATCTGTTTAAAAGCACATGGCAATGACTGCCCCGAGGGTCTTTGCAGAGTAGGGCGGTGAAGGTTGGAGTAGGGTCTGTGTGACTGGATCAGCTGGATGCTTTGGATTGACTTTAGTAGGCTCCTCAGGCCTCCGTGCCTCAGTTTCCCCCCTACATGAAGTGCCATTAGTGACCTGTGGCTTCACACTCACGCTTGTGAAACTTCAGTCAGAGCTGCTGTGTAAATGCAGCGTGCTGCTTGTTGGTGAAGCCACAAATAACCCAGGAGATACCAGTTTGCAGATAACTTTAGGAAGGGCTGCAGCTTACGAAACCGCCGGGAATTTATGGCTAGGTGGCAGGAGGAAACGTGCTGCCTCACAGAAGGCTGCTGGCACTTCACTAGAGCGTGCTTGCTGTTAGATGGACAGCATCCTGGCTCCTGAAACCATCCTCTGCCCTGGCTGTGCCCTGCACCCATTTCTGAACATTCCCGTGGCATTTCGGCTTTCCGTATGACTCCGGGTGAATCGAAGCCAAACTGCGTTTGAACTAGAAAGTCACAAGCCTGAATCGGAGCCCTGTGACTGGGCTGTACAAAAGAGGGCAAAACGCTGACCGAAAGTACTGCAGGGAAAATCCCACACATGTCTGGCCTCCGACGGACTCCCTGGCCGGGCTCCGTGCCCGCAGGAGCCACGCTGAAGTCAGGAGTTAACTGCAGGGGCAGAGCCGGTGCGGGCAGCAGATGCCACCAAGAGCAGACCCCTCCACGGAGAGCTGGGAAAAAGCCCACGTAATTCCACCTTAAGTTTGCCCCAGTCTGTAGCAGGCTGTTAGCTGGGATTGTGTGCCCGAGTTACTGTGCTCCCTTGTTCGCTGCCACGTGTGAGGGGTTGAGCAAATTCTGTTTGGTCGGTCAGGATTTTCTATTTGCTTTCCCTCCAGCTCTGTGAAATCCCTGGAGACTTCTCTCCTTTCAGTGTTGCAGCGTTTCCTGAGAAGGAGCTGCTGGGGAGGGGAGTTGTGGTGCTGGGGCCGTGCGGTGCCGTGGCCACCCCGATTTCCTTTCCGAAATGCACATCCCGTGGGAGCTGTTTTTCTGCCCTGAACTCTCCTCCTGAACTTTCCCTTTCCTTCGGTCAGGAAAATCCCTTTAAATAACGTGTGGAGCCTGCACTGTTTGTTTTCCTGGAGTGCCCTGCACTGGCAGCCGAGTTGGTTTAGCAACAAACCCTTTGATGGTGCCCCTGATGTAAAGCACTGCCTGAAATCAGTAACGTGTTTGTTCTCAGACTGCGGTGCCGAGATCATAGAATGGTTTGGGTTGGAAGGGACCTCAAAGATCATCTCATTCCAACCCCCCTGCCACGGGCAGGGACACCCTCCACTACATCAGGTTGCACAAAGCCTCATCCAACCTGGCCCTGAGATGCCCAACTGCTCCATTTTTCCTAGGGATTAAAGCCAACGGTGAGGAAGCAGAAGAAAGAACATCTTCCCTTTGGCAGCCTCTAGTGGGAAGAAGTGGGAGACAAATCCCCAGTGGGTCTCCTTCCCTTTCAGAAAGTTTGTAGAAGGAGACAGGCTGCAAATCAAGGCCATGCTGCCCAGTCCCACCCCATCAAGGGTGTCCCCAGCCCCTCTGCACAACAGGAGGGACAGGACACCTTGCACTGCACGCAGAGAAGGGACTCAGCTTCCTCAGGGGGAAGTTCTGTGCCTAAGGAAAAGCATAAAAGCTCACAGCACAAAGGCAAAGGATTACGGAGCACTTTAAAGGCCTGGGGGAGAATCAAAGGGATGCTACCCCATGCAAACTGCTCTTGTACCCCGAGACCAGCAGATGATGTTCTGAGAAGAAACCTTGGGCAGAAGATAGTAAGCCCCATCAAGCTTTCTGGGTTGTGGCAAGGGATTACACTACGCACAAGCTCTGAAAGAGAGCAGTTGGGGAGCATACAACATGTGTTCCCATTTCCAGGAGTTACTGCTCTCTCACATGCTTTTGGGGAACAGCATGATACCCACCAGGCAGCTCTGACAGAGAGAGAGGAGTCATCTCCTGCTCATCCAGAAGGTGATGCCGAAAAGAATTTTCCCCTGTGGGGAAAACTAAGAGTGCCTTTCCAGCACCCAGCCTTGCAAGCTTGCTTGAAAGCTCAAGGCC